GTGAGGAATAGTATGAATAAATGAAATGCAAGACGATGCCGCAGTCGGCATTTTTAGATGCAATTCAGAAATGTGTTACGAATTGCGGTTGTTTTGCTTTCGAAACTAATTTCCAAGTCTCGAGGAAGGGACTGAGAAATGAATTGTGGAGTCGAAGTTCTCTTGTAAATTTGCAAGCGGAAAAGCAATGCATAAAGTACCCATGCTAGTTTCATGAATGCAGAATTGTTTAACGATATATAGACATTTCTCCATATATTCTAGAGGTAGTAGTTTCTCCAACTACCAAACATCTATGAATTTACTTTGAATATTGCTTTTATTAATAGAACAATATCTCGCATAGTACGGATTCGATCAGTACCGATTTATAATAAATTTTAATTAAGCAAAATATTTTGTTTTGTTTCTTTTTAAAGTTCGATTTCATAAATTGTTAAGTGCAGTAATGTTACAGATAGTGCGGATAACTAAGATTTTAAGTACTAATTTTTGACAGTGTATGACAATCAACCAATACTAACAGTTTATCACATTTAACAATTGACATATATTTAGATAATTTTGCAATAAATATTATTATTACTATTAGATTTAAAGTTTTTTATGATTTATTTAAAATTATTGAATATCTTTTGAAACATCTTTTGACTGCAAAAAACTAGATTATGAAAATTAAGCAAAAGACATATTTTCATATTAAGTCTTCTTTCTTTTTTGTTGTATATATCTTGATGTAAATGTTATTTTTAGATTGAATATTTTTTTGACGTTTGACAGTTTAAAAATTATGTAATGTCATTTTAAATAATAATATTTGACACTTTATGACAGTTACTTTTCTTTTTATTGTCTATATTTTGTTTGAAAGTTTATTTTAGATCTATTTACAAAAGTTACTTCGTAATAGTTCATTATTTTTTTGTTATTATTTTAATAAATATTTTTATATTTAAAAATTTACAAAATATTGATTAAATTTTTCATAGTTAAACAACGTGCGCTTTTTTTCTGTGATGGGTGATTTTTTTCTACTATACATTTTATTATAATTGTATAGTGAATTGTATACATTTATACAAAATGCTATAAGATATAAGAACCTCGTGTTTGGTGGTAATTTGCTTAGGAAACCTAACAAATGTTATTATGTAATTCCAACAAACAATGGTAGTTTTTTTTACTATATTCTTAATTACACCATATATTTTTATTTTCGTGCTTACTATATTTTATCAATATAGAAAAGGTGATAAATTATATAACAAAAAAAAGGTTGGTTTATAGTTAACGGTGTATTCGTGTCGTCTGGTTGGTGGAACCTTGGCTTTTATTTACTCGTTCCGAGCTTCTACAAATAGAAATCTGCATAACAAAAACTAAGGGCTCGATCAATACGTAATATAAACATGTTTATTGTCACTACGTCTGAGCGAAAAAAAAAGTATACGTAAGAAGCTTGAATAACAAAGGAAACTAAAAAAAGCATCGTTATATCAAATTTAATGAGATGATGCATACAATTGCTACAAAGAAAATGTGTTCATTTCTGTGATTTGTACTACAGTTATATAACTCTGATATTTTCATTTTGTCACATAAATTTCAATTAAAGCTTATAATTATAATAATAAAGCTTACATTAGGAATAAAGTCGAGTACATTTTACACATCTGATATTTTATATAGAATATTCTAATTACTTTATTAAGTCAAGTCTCTTTTTATACAATTTTTATGTATACGGTTTTAATGTACTCAATTAGGTCTGTTTGAAACAGTCCGGAATGTTATTGAAACCAATTACCCGCACTATACGAGGTTTTATAAGTATTCAGTAATGAATTACAACTTAAATACATTAATAAAATGTACATACCCAATGGTATTCTAGCTGTGATAGTTAAATTAATTAGACATGTGCAAATAATCATGGGTATTGTTTTTACTCTCTAAGTTGGTAGCTTGTTAAAGTGAATTGCCAAGCGTTGCAGGAAAACTGCGAGTATAAGCAATGCATGCAGAATGAGAAGCTTCTGTTGTTGTTGTTGTTGCTGTTGGTATAAACTTCGAACTTGGAGGGTCCACACGTATGCAGCAGGAGTAGAGACTAGCAGACACCTCACGTCTGTCACTACAATTCCTGCGCTCGGACATTAACATACCGGAAAACAAAAATACTTCCGGAGCCAAATTAAATACCGCTTCTGAAAGCAGTAAGTAATTTACTGCCGTTTTTAACCTCACCCACACCTACACACACGAAATTTTCTCTATCGCGTTTTCGTTATTTTTTTATCCTCGAAGGTTGTTTGTTTTTCCCCCTAGCAAGGGTTGCCCTATATGTACCTGAGGCTGAGAGGATTCCAATTTTATGTGGCCGTAACTCATCGGTTTACTCGCCTCCGTTCTACGTATTAGGGTAGTTCTTTTTTGTTCTCCTGCTACTTTTTTTCTTTCCTGTTTTCCGGTGCAGCAGAGCTTTCGGACACATACCGAAAAACCGCAACGTTCCCTATATTAATACACCACCCGCACTCCATATATCACCCCTACATGGATCCTTTCCCGCAGGATTACTTCTTCGCAGGAATGGAAATTAATATATTTTGCCCGACGAACGACAAAGCGTTTTTCAAAATTAAAATTAATTAAAAACTTTTGTTATGTGGTTGCAGGATGTCAGAGAGAAGAGGGAATGAGGAGTAAGAGAGAGAGTGGGTTTAGGGCAAAATTGTGAGATGTGCGAGCGCAGGGCCAACAAATTTAATTACTCGCAGTCTGGGTGTTGAATCAATTTGGTGCCTTTCTGTGTCCTCTGTGGCCTAAACGGTAGGACCTGGGTCATTATAAAGACATTAATATGGAAATTCCAGCAAGGACTGTCGGGATTTCGTTCGCTCCTTCCCACGAAAACACTTTTTTCTTCGTATATATCCAGACCCGATTTTTCATTTAAGATAAATATGCTTCAACTGGCAAATATTTATATCGTAAATTCTATAGAATTTCTTTTAATATGAATAAATATATTTTTTCTTATATAGTTTTAATTTATAATTAATAATCATCAATAATTTGTAACAAATATATTTAATAATAATTATTGCTATAATTAGGAGAAAAAAATTGTTTAATTTAATTAATATTATTGAAATTACTTGTAATTATTTATATGCAATACATTTTTAATTATAATTTTATTGTTTGAAAATATGTTTTTTTTTTGTATACAAATTCTTTCTTACTGTTATGAAGACTTTAATTTAAATATAATCTATTGAGTGTTAACATAAGTTCTGTCCGTTTTTTCAAATTAAAAGGACAAGAGAACACAACAACAAAAAAATACAGCAAATACATTAGTGTCTTTTTTTACTTTTGGCGGGCATTTTTGAATGTGAAAAAAACATTTTTATTTTATTTCGGTTTATGAATAATTCAGTTTTAGAACGAATTATGTTCAAAAATCAATTTATTATTAATTTTAAATACATTTATTTAATACTCTAAGTTATGCAACCAACGTGAAAAGAAATTCACAAGAATAAATGAATTCATTCATGAAAATAAATGTAATAGAAAAAACTATATTCGACGAGTGCAAAGGAATGCGGCAAAAAAAATGCAGACGTTTCTTCGAAATACGCATTGATGAATGGAACGTAGTAAAACCAATAAAAAAGATGTGTAGAAAATTCCGTCTCGAGTCTAGACGATAAAATTAGAAAAAAAAAAATTCAAATAAAATATCTAAGAACAAAAAAACTGCATATATTACTTCTATGTCTCGTCTATTTTTTTTTAATAGTTTCATTGAATTCACTTATTTTTGTTATAGAAATTACCTAACGTGGTTGTTTGACAAATTATCTTCATTTGTGTAAATTCAATGCGTAATTGGAAAGTGTTTTATCGATACGATCTATTTCAACAGCTAAATATACCTATCTCTCGTTTTAAGGTACTTTCTTTACACGTTTTCGCTTTTACACGGTTTAATACAATTTTTTGTATACTTTTCAAATAACACGGTATAACATTCAAAAAGTTACAATTACAATTTACACGTTTTTCTCGGGAACTTTAATAATTATTTATTGCAATTATGTAATATTTCTGAAATAATGTTGATTATTTGTGATTTTTTTCAATAATTTGTAATCAAAACGTACTATTTCTTGTATCCATATAAGGTTTGGTTTAGCATTCGCAACAATCGATGATTCATCGTTTTCCTAACCATATGTGATGGTGCGATTTCATAACTATATAAGGCTTTTATTACTTATAGAATAAACATTTTTTTAAATTGAAATAAAAATAATTAAATGTATATAAATTATACAATCTCTTTAAGTATATTTTTAACGTGTACTACTTTTCACTATAATTCAATTTTTTTTGTATAGAAATCCAAGTGGATAAGTTAATTAAACACATATTCATGATACTGTCAATAGAAATAATTGGATTTACCCTGAAATTTTCTTACCCCAACAGACAAAAACAATTCAAAAACATTGTTTCGTTGTATAGCAGAGGTCAACAAACCGCTGAAAATTACTCCTAATAGGGTAAACATGAACTTCCTGGCATTAATGACAAAGTTTATCAATTAAAATATTCTAAACATTTGGGTTGTTAAAAGATGCTAATACTTAAAAAAATACACATGAGAAGGTAGTCAAAAAGTTTATTACAACTTAGTTTTTACTTTCTTTCAGATCTTGGGGTAACGTAGGAGCAAATACATATGTTACACAATTCTGTTCTATACTTTACTTTAATTTATATATTGATTTAGGTTTTATCAGTTTAGATAATGCAGGTTTGTCTGGCCATGGATGCTTTGACAAGTATTTGCACTTCATCGCGAAGAAGGAGGATGAAAGGTGCTGGTTCACAGGACGATAGCCCTATTTAGGTGCTGTAGATGGGTTGAAAGGAAGCACGAGTCCGACGCAGAATTGGGAGTTCTGCTAGGCCAGAAAATGTTATCAGTCAAATGCTGAAGAGTGCGAAGAGCTGGGATATTGTAGCGGGGTACATATCAGAAGAAGAAGACGAGTGGAGGCTGCAAAGGGTCTACGAGGATAGTGGCAGTGGAGGCCAGCATTTACATGATGTAGTGGAAATGCCAAAGAGGCATAGATAATCAGCATCGCAGAGTAGTATAGTGATACAGGTCCTGCATGGTGGCGAAGAAGGGGAGAGGTTTTAGTGCGGTAAGAATCCCATAGTACCACGACTCCGCCCGTAGTCCCTATGTAATGTTTCCTCTCTACAAAAAAAAAGTTTGTTACGTAGATTTAATTTGCTGATTTCCGATGATTCTATTTAAATTTACTTATTTTATCTTTAAAAAGCAACTGCTATTTTAATTAAATTCATTTTTATATAACTATGAAAATCTGTAATTTTTTACATAATTTTATTAATTTTGCTTTACATTTTACTAAAAATATTTATGTTTTATCATCAAAATATATGTAGAAGTATTACAAAGGGATCATAAGTTATTATAATACTTTTAAATTTAATAAGTTTTAATTTTTTTATAATTTATAAAACATACCTTTGTTTAAGCATTATGGAGAAAGCATTAGGAATTTGGATTATGTGGATGCGCCGGGTACGAGATTATGCGGTTGTCTCCAAAAAGGATTAAGTAAAATAATTTCGAGCATACAAAATACTAGCCGACACAGAACATTTGCATATTTTTGTATAAACCGCGAAGTCCTCGTATTTATTTTGTAATTGCGTATTTCATCTTCGAGTTATTTCTTTGCACGTGTGTGGATTGTAAGGGATGTGCTTTAAAGGCCAAAGTATAACTAAAGTGAGATTCAAATTTAACGTTCTCGTTTACTTTTCGGCTAAATATTCATAGCATAGGGGGAGAAAACCCCTTTGCAACACAATAAAATTATGCGCGTTGCGAATCTCTCTGCAGGACGATAAATTAAATAAACACACATATAGCCATAACACTAAACATACAGTGTTAATTTAACTTATAATGCACACCGGAATTTATTGCTCCAACTAATTGTAATGGCATTTGTATGCCAAGGAATTAGTTCAATTACCGAACGGATTGCATCAGAACGACCAAACCCATACACTCTTCTCTTCCCCTCTCACGATCAACCCCCATACGCAGCGAATCAACCCCAAAAATCCACTCCGTTCCCGAGATTGATTAATTTTACGTCCCCTCTGGTCGCGACGTGATTCAATAAAAATTTTCATAAATTAACTTAATTGAAATGATCCACATCAAAGTCATTTTTTTGTAATTAACTTAAAAGTTAAATCAAAAATAATCGATTCATACTTCATCAGATTAAATATTTATATAGCAGTTTTAAAGTGAAAAAAGTTTTGAATTTGAAGTTTACCGGTTTTTAAAACCGGTTTTTATGAATTAATCTAAAATTAAACAAAAGCGGTTTATATAAATTGAAATTTTTACCAAGAATCAATTATCATTAATTAACCAATATGAAAATAACTATAATTTATATATAAAAAATTGTTCTGGAAACCAATTTTCTGTTAGAAATTTATAATTTCTTTTATTAGTGCTATAATATTGAATAACATTCATTTTTTAAATACTGAAATTAATAATACTGTTTTTTTGTTCTTTTTATATGTCGTGAAAATAAGGGTTGAACTGAGTATAATGATCTGTTGTTTGTTGAAGGGATGAGCAAAATAATTGAGAAAGTTAATATATTTAAAAACTTGACTTTTTAAGGAAAGTATAAATATTAACTCTATGATTTAAATACTTCAATTAGAAAACCGTTTTTTTTTTTTCAAAAAGTTGTTATATTCTTTGTATGAACCTTACTATGAATCTTATGAAAATAAGGGTTGAACAAAGTGATAATGGTCAGATGTTTGTCGAATAGAAGACAGATAAAATGGATATATTTAAAAACTTCAATTTTTATAATAAGTAAAAATATTTACCGATTTTTTAAATTCTAGAATTAGAAAACCGGTTTTACCGAACTTTACTTTGAATTCTATAAAAATAAGGGTTGAGCAAAGTGATAATAGTCAGATTTTTGTTGAATAGATGACAGATAAAATGGATACATTTAAAAAATTCAATTTTTAAAATAAGTATAAATTTCTACCGATTCTTTAAATACGATTTTATAACCGGTTTTTTCTTTCAAATATTTGTTTTCTGTATCAACCCTGTGAAAATAAGGGATGAACTGAGTGATAATGGTCTGATGTTTGCTGAAGGGATGAGCGAAATAATTGAGATAATGGATGTATATTGTTTTAGAAATAAATGAACGATTTTAATTGGTAGGCTTGATGTTATAATGGATTAAATTACCTGCCTAAATCCGGGGAAATCTAAACATGAGGACTCGTTGGTAATATTAGCAGCTGCAGACAGAGAGGAGTACTGCTCTCCAAGTTGATAAGATTTAATTGATGAGATCTCATCGATTCGGAATTACGCAAACCGGATTTGCGAGTTACGTAATTCCGGATGGGCTGGAGTAATTCCGTCAGGGCCCCGCACGTTATCGTTATATAATAAAAATGCTTCGGCGCGTTTCTCGCGTATCCCGTCTTTCATTATCTAAGTTTTAAGAGTTCTTCAAATATTCAAAGGAGCAGCAAAGAGGAAAATCAATGGAGCGATAATAAAAGTCAGCTTAAAGTGGCGTGTAGTGGCGATCGATTAGGTAAGTTTTTATGGGCGAGATAAAAAGGGAGGGTCTGCTATTAAAAGGTATTGGAAGTTAACTAAAGAAAAAAGTATAGATGGGATTGTAATTGAAATTAATTAATGGTGCTCAACACTATCTGCATAAAAACTACTTTTGCTACACTCAATAGTGAATACTTCACAAATTTATAAAATTTTGATGAAAATATATTGTAATATTCAGCAAATATTTATATGTAAAACATAAAAAACAATTAACAAATGTTATTGAAAATACCGGTTTTTTAAACCAAAATGTTTTCAATAAAATTTATAAATTAATTAAATAATTAAATGTTATATATAAACACTAGAATCTGAAACCGATTTTTATAAATTTGAAACGAATAACCGGTTAAATACATTACTTTGAAACAATTGAATATTATTTTTGTGTTTATATTCGTTTTGGTTGAAAACCGACACACTGCTGTTATGGTTTGTCCTATTTTTATTTCTCATAACTTGTGTAAATTAAAGAAGTAGTTAACTTTTATGTTTTAATAATTTTTTTATTTAAATTTAAAAAAACCGGCTAATCACGTTGATTTGCAGAAATTTAAATAATATTTCTGTTAATATTCTTTTCAATTGAAAGCACGACAAATCTTAATATAAAGCGTACAATATAGTTCCATTACATTGTGTAAATTAATTAAATTATTTCTATACATAAATAGTAAAATTTAGAACTTAAAAAAAACAGGTTAAATAAATTTATTTGTTGAAATATAAATATTATTTCTTTTGGAATTTCAATGAGTTAAACCTTTATTGCATAATTTTTTTTGAAGAAATAGATCTAATAAATTTGTAATTAATTGAAAAAATAAAACGATTAAAAACAACAAAAATGTTAGTATTTTTAGTTTAGAGACTTTGGTCGTTAGTCGCATGACAAAATTTGGGTAAATAAATAATTTTAATATTGAATTGTTTTATTATATAATTTTTTATAATTTGACAATTATTTTTATTTGTTGAACTTGTTTTTGACAATAATTGTAATTTATATAAATGTCGAGAGGAATAAATTGTACACTTATATCAATAAAAATGTAAGTGCAGGTGGTGTTTGTTGAAAGATGAAAGTAAACTCACTCAGTATGTATAGGAAAGTGGGACTGTTATTATATAGGACGAAACATAATATCATGTAAAATGTATTATTTTAGTAAACGTTTGAAATGTATTTTTTTGATCAATTTATGAATATCATATTTCCATATATACGCAAAGTATACTGTATATAATATTATGTATAGAAAATTCTTTATCATAACGTCAACTAAATCGAAAACATATTTTTTAATCCTGCTTTTGCTTTATATAATTTTTAGTGAAAAGAAGATCTTGATTTGTACCAAATCTTGATTTTGCTACGTAATCAGGATATATAAGCAAGATGAAAGTAATTAATATGAATTCCATTGAATACTGCCACGTGTTAAGCAGGAATGTCTGCTTTTCAGCGAAAGAAACAAATATTTAATTAAATACGCCAGTTAAGTAGAATTACGCTCATGTTTCAAGATTTGTTGTTCGTTGAGGGGGGAAAAGGAATGTAAATTAATAACATTTCGTATGGAATGTAATAAGCTAACAGGTGATCCGAACAGGCAGTAAGGATGTTATGCGTCATTAGGATCTTGCGATACGTCTTTCCCGCAGGACCTGAGGGCAGAACGGGGTGGATTTAATTATGAGCGATTAGATTTCCTTATTAGGCTTTCCTAAATACGCGCAAGGATGTACAGTATACGGGATGGTTGAATGATGATTATGACGGTCGTAAAATGGGATTTTCGTTTCTCTGCTCTTTTACATGCGAACGCACGTTAAATTTTATATAAGCTTTTCGCGGTAATTATAAGCCCGGTCCAAAATATGCTGCGGATACCATAGAACCGACGCCTCTTTCCGCCCACTCGCCGCCCCCCAGCGAAGCATTAACTTCAAATTAGGACAGCGAGCAATCTAATTAGCCACGGTCTGGAATCGTAAACCGGAGGGATGGAAAATTTCTAGTTTCACGTTGCATTTACATCACTCCCATTTGCACGCAACATGCATCCATCTATTCCGAAGCAGCCTTTCCACCTGAGCAGCAGTATTTACGTAAACATGTTGCAATTATTTTATAATCGACAACAACCGTTCCGAAACATATTTAGTAATTATATTGTTGGATATTTCAATACTTTATAGAATCTACCCCTTTTTTAGATATATCCTTAATTGGACCATCCCCTAAGCTAAGACGATTATTATAATTTAATCAGTTAATATGGTATAATTCTTAATATAAAATAATTTAACTTGCTTCATTTTAAGATATAAATTACACTACTTTTCTTCTAATTTTTATCATTTATTCCTGCTACAATATATACAACAATATTTTTAGAATTAGACAGTGTTTCAGCAAAACTAAATGCGACTGAAAAAAGTTAATAATAATCTTTATGGTAATAATAAAAAAAAGAAGAAAAGTGCTATTAACCATAGGTCTTTCTGCCAGAAAAAAAATATTA